TTTTTTTATTATTATTTAGGAATAGCATAGGGCTCCAAGTTGTTTCGGCCTAGCACTTGCTGTTCAGTAATTGGGCCAAGCGGGCCTTGGTGAGCCTTGGGTAGGGCTAGTAGTTCGGCAGGTTGTGAGGACTTGGCAGGTGGGCTTAGGCATGTGTTGGAGCTAGGGTTTAGAAGGAAGTGAGTGGGTTCTTTAGCAAACGTGCCGATTGGTAGGATGAATGAAAGGAGTTGTTTGATCCTTGAATAGCTTCATGTCCCTATTTTCCATCTGCTCAACCCTTGCTGTTTGGCAAGGGTGATCCGACCTGGGTTTGATTCTGTAGTTTCGATTGTGAGCAGAGGCAGGAAGGAAAATTGAAGTTAGGCTTTGGTAAGGTAATTGTGGATACAGAAGGAGGCGCCACCATAGCTGCTGCCAAATCCTTGCTATCGGCAAGGGTGACCTGAAGGAGCTGTAGCTGCTGGCCAATCCTTGCCAATCCAAAATTAATATTAAATTATTCAATAAAAAGATGATTTTACCCTGAGAATATTTTAATGGGTTTAAAAATTGACTTTTTGTTCTGGAAATAATTTGGGGATTTTAGTAGTATCGTTGTGTAGATCACGTTGAGATGAGTTCGTAGACACGTATGGGCTCAAATTGGAGTTGTAACGAAGAAGTTACGATCAAAAGAAGCATAATGGCACAATTGTAAATATTTCGAAGTCTAGTTTTTAAAAACCAGAATTTCTTCTCTCTCTCTCTGGTTCACGCATCAACCCCACTGCTGTTACTATTCATTCGGTGGTTTTTTGAGCCACCACCATTATCATCTCCTCTCTCCATCCTGACCCTTCACCTCCCCAGCCACCGCATGTGTTAGCCAGAAAATACGAAAAAGCCGCCGGTTTTACCCATAACTTCCCGGAGTTCGTTCAGGCCATTCCAGCCACCAATTTCTACGATCTAGGTATGTTTTTCATCTTCTCAATGTGTTCTAGTTGATGGTTGGGTTGTTTAGGATCAATTTTTACGTTTTGAAACTCAAATTATCACTTAAAGTTTCAGCTAGTTTCGGCTCGCAATTCCGGCCATATTCGGCAACTTTTTGGCCATGGTCTAGAACAAAAGTTACTCAATTCATTGTTCTGATCATGTAGGTATAGATCTTGACCGGCGGTTTGGAGATTTTCCAATTTTGTGGCAGTCTTTGGGTCCTAAAATGATTCCCATGTCGTCCTGAGCACGATGGTATGCTCGGATTTGAAATTGGTTATTGTTTGACCGTCAATCGAATATCGCATATTGGGTGTTATCCGAGTTCGATATGTTCAGACCGTTGGATTGTTTTCAATTTAAAATATGTTGATCTAGGCATCTCTAGGATCTGGGTAGGAATTTGCGGATCGTGAATCGGAGCCCCGGATGCTCTGATTCAATAATTCAAAGTTGAGGATAAAAGATATTCGTCCGATCGTGCAGTCGCGAGTGATCCAACCGTTCGATTCATACCAAACCAGTAGGACATGTTTATTAAACCTTGTTAAACCCATAGGAACTTTCAGATAGGAAATTGGAGGTCGTGGGCCCAACGGGCATGTCGACTAGATTTGGGAAGTTTGACCATTCAGTTGACCGAGAGTCTTCCGAGGTAGTTTCATCCTTCGAGAAGTGCAAGAACGCTCCTATAAACGAGGCTTGACTGTTATGTGAATTATTTTGATTATGGTTGGATTTTGAGATTATATTATAGTATTTTATGGTATTCCTTGATGTTATTTATGATATTCGAGGATTGTGCGTTATTGGAAGTGATGAGATTTCTAAGGGTTATTTATTTATTTTATATTATTATTATGATTATTATTAAAGTATATGACTGAGTGTTACTGGATGATTTAATGTTAGGAGTTACTATGTAATTGCTTTTACTTTCTAAGGCTATTATATTGTGTTTAGTTGTGAAGAGTTGGGAATGGGTTGTTAATCCGATTCCGACGTGAATATTTAATTAATTAAATATCCAAGTACATGTCTATATTTAATATAATATATATATATATATATAATCAGTGGTTTGAAAATGATGAATTATGGACACTGGTTCTCAACAGTATGTGGTGTAAATTCAAAGGTAGTTGAGAACTAATTTGAAATATGGAGTTGTGGAATATGGGAAATTTCATGATAAGTTTTCGGTATATGGTTTTCAAACCCACCACATGATTACCCCAGTTGCCTTTGAAACATTTTTGTCATTGATGACAATGCCTCACGAGTTTCTAGGATGCCTGAACCGTATGGTGCGTGGATGTGCGTTATCGGGCTGACTACATGTCCCCCGAGTTCTGCGAGGATGTGTGTTCTCGGACTAACTATGTGTTCCCTGAGTTCTGCAAGAAATGCGGCTCGGGTTGACTTTGTGTTTATGTGTAACGACCCGGTCCTAAATAAATATTTAATTATTAATTAAACATGATAAAAGATCATTTTGCCCCTAGAATATTTTATTAGGTTTAAAGTTGACTTTTTGACCGGGAAGGAATTTAGGAATTTCGACTATACTGTTGCGTAGAGCACGGTGAGATGAGTCCGTAGACACGTAGTGAGCTCGAATCGGAGTTGTAACGAGAGAGATACGATCAAAATACCCTCAGTGGCATAACTGTAATTTTGACAAAAAGGGTTTGATAAATCTGATTTCTCTCTCTCTCTCTCTCTTTCTCTCTCTCTCTCTCTCTTTCTCTCTCTCTCTCTCTCTCTCTCTTTCTCTCTCTCTCTCTCTACTCTCTCACTATGGCAATGACAGCCGGCCACATTTTGGCCGGCTGTTCTTTCATCCGGCCACCAAAGTTGACGTGGTCGATACCAAAATGACCGGGCCGCCATCCTCTTCCAACCCCAGCTAGGCCCCGCCTCCAGCCGCTGTGATTTTGCCTTAAAAACCAAGAGAAACGCCCAATTTTTGCTAGAAATTTGGCCAGCTTCGATCTCTCTCCTCTGGCAGCCATTTTTGGCGATTAAGGTATGGAAATTCATCCTTTCTTCATGATCTAGCTAATGGTTGGATAAGATTGCATCAATTTTTAGCCTAGGTTGTCTGATTTTCGAATTGGATTTCGGGATTTGATTCCTGCCACTTCCGCTTAGTTTTTGGGGTATGCCCAAGAACAAAAGTGACTCCAATTTGGGTGTTACACCTAGGGTAAGAGTCTTGAGCCGTGATTTTGGGTTTTTTCGATGATGGATTATCGCTTTGGACACCCACGCGCTGCCCGCGCTTGGGCACTGTAGAAAATGGGCATGATGTCCCGAGGTGATCTCCTGGTCCTCATGAACACGTAGGTGTGCTCGAATTTCAATTTGGATACCGTTTGAGCGATCGACCGTTCGATCGTGAGTGATCCGACTGTCCGATCTGGACTAAACTTGCAGGACGTGTGTCCTAAGCCTTGTAGAACACATAGGAACTTTCGGATTGGAATTTGGAGGCCGTGGGCCTTGTGGACCTGTTTGACCATGTTTGGGTAGCTTGACCCTTGGTTCACCGTGGGTCATCCGGGGTAGTCTTACCTTCATAGGAGGATTAAAATGACCATAGGGACAGGTCCCGAGCGTTAGTTGAGTTATGTGATATAAGATGAGAGGTCACACGTGACGTTGGATTTTCTGGCGTGTTGACAACCCCCATACTTGGCGTTGGATGTTCTGGCGTATGAGGAGATTATCTGATTGTTAGGTCCCACGTGGCATAGGATTTTTCGGCGTGAGGATAGACCCCATATCTGGCGTTGGATGTTCCGGCGTATGGGGAGATTATGTAATATGAGATGAGAGGTCACATATGGTGTAGTATTTTTCGGCGTGTTGACAGACCGCATACGTGGCGTTGGATTTTCCAGCGTAGAGGGAGATTATGTGATATGATGGCTAGGTCCCACGTGGCGTAGGATTTTCCAGCGTGTGGACAGACCCCATACGTGGCGTTGGATGTTCCGGCATATGGGGAGTATGTGATATGAGATGAGAGGTCACACGTGGCGTAGGATTTTTTGGCGTGTTGACAGACCCCATACGTGGTGTTGGATGTTCCGGCGTATGGGGAGATTATATGATTATTTGAAAGAGGTTTGAAAAAGATTGTGTTTGGTGAGTTGTGATTTAAATTAAAAAAGGGAATGGAGTAAATTATAGAATGTACGAATTTGTATGGCTGTAATGGTTTTTATGTTATTGGAACCAGGATTGTTGTTAAAAGAACTACGTGTGGCTTAATCCCTCTCAAGGGGTATGTAGGCAGCCTAGGTGCAGCCGCAGACTAGATTTTATTTAAGTGTTTTTTTTTATAGTTGGGTTCTGACCTTGTCTTTGGTCCTGAAACTCGGATGAGACCGAGGTGTGATTAGATGATTACTCATACTCTCGCTTGGCTACGGGAGGGTGGGGTTAGTATGTTGTGGATGAATTATTGGCAAGACCCGTTCGGATTGTTGTATGATTTGGGCCGAGACCTTAAACTGTTTGTGTTGGCATTAGGAGGTTAAAACCTCGCATATTGGATAGTTGGGAAAGTTAAATTATATAAATTACTTTTGGCATTAATAAGTGCGTTTGAATTTATTATTTGGCTTAAGAACTGTGTTGGTAGTTTGTTTTGAAGTATTTGAAGGCCGGAGGCCGATTATGTGAATTGCATGAAATTATCTTGTGCATGCTGCCAGTTGGTGATATTAAATGTGTTTTATGCAGGTTGAAATTTTTGGGAAATGTTCGATTTAGAGGGGGGACTCTGCCGAATTTTCGGCAGAAAGTCTCGTGTCCTTACTCTTTTTTGGAAAAGGAGGTTACAGTTTTTGTGAGTGGGCCCGACATAGGTTTGATGTCGGGAATTTCACAGGATTCGTTCCGGATTTTGAGGAAATTCAGGGCGGGTCCTGTCATTCCGAGGCCTGCGAGGATGTAACAGACATGGTACTTGGAACTAACGGAATATTAGTGGAATTGACGGATCACGAATGGGGGTACGCCTAGGTAAAGAGTATTTGAGTTTTGAAATGTTTTAAACTAGAAATTATGATTTTATTTTGGTACTTATTGGTGAAGGTTTAATACATGTTTTCCGATTTATGAGACAAAGATTGAGAGTTTTCTAAGTTCTAAGAATTTTATATAATTCACAATTAATTTCTTAAGTGATGAATTTGATTTTTACATGTGAAAGAAGGAAAACATATTTTATTTAAATTGTTGATATTGACATTAAGGTTTCACGTGATCAATGCTATTTTAATAATTTTTCTCGTTTTCCTACTTATAAGTAATAAGTTAATTTATATATATATATATATTTATTTATGCACATGTGGGATGAGTAGAAGATTGTTCTAACCTCAATAGCCTTTGATTGAGTTCCGGTGGATTGATCTGAATTATTTATGAAGGTTTCTCGATTTTATTTGATTAAGTTACTTTTGTTTACTTACAATTTATGCAGAAAGAACTACGTATGGTTTGATCCCTTAGTAAGGGTACGTAGACAACCTAGAGTTACTAGGTGCTGCCACATAAGCAAGTGTTGAAAATTTGTTCTGTCAAGTTATTTTGGAACTTGATAACGCATTCATGTTATTTTAAGAGTTGAGACCAGTTTCAGTTAGCAAAATGATTTATTTGGTATAAAGAGGCCTGAGGCCATTCAAAGTTATTTGTTTGATGCATGCTAAACGATTGTGGATATGAGTTGCATTTTGTACAGGTGAAAGTTTTGGGAAACGAGCGAATTACAGGGGAGACTCTGCCGAATTTCAGCAAAAGTCAAACCTTAAAACAAATTTTTGAGTCTTATTTAGAAGGGCAATTTGGTCAAGTGTGCCCAGCACTTGTCAGGTGTTGGACATGCACATGCCAGGTGTTGGACACGCACAGGGTTGATTCCAAAGTAGAATTTGGGTCGGGTCTTGTCATTGTTAATTTTTTAGTCTATGTGGATGCCACATCAGCTTAAAACATGAATCCTATTTCGCCACATCAACAGTTAACAAATTTTTTAATGGTTAACCTAACTGAAGGTGTATTTTGAAAGGTTTCGTGAAGTTTGTGTACTGGTCAATAAACGTTGAATATGAGTTTGTAACCCCCATAGTTTGGGGGTTTTACTGTAGTTAATCCTAAATTAGAACACATGTATTCTATGGGAGTTCGTAACACACAAGACAAGTAATCATTGTATACAAATGTAAATGTTTTTATTTTGAGACTAAACTCAATGTATTTAGCGGTTATACCAAGGGCACAGCTCATTGTTAAAGACACAATTTATCTCATAATTGAGAGATTTTGCAACTAAAAAAAGAAGAAGAAAAAGTTGAAAAAGAAGAAGAAGAAGAAAATGAAACAAGTCTTGCATGGACCTAATGGGCTTTTGTTGGCCCAAGCCTATTCGTGGGCTACACTAGCTCAGCCTTCCTAATTGATTGGAAATATTGGACTTGAAAATTATTTTTGACTCATCCCAAACTTGAGGTTTTAACCCATTTTCACCCCAGCCTATAATTATTGGGCCCAAACCCTCCACGTTTTGTTAAAATTTCTTGAACTCAATTTGAACAGAGGGAGTGTGCTATGCAAAGAAGGACTATAACTTGGCAAAGCACCCAGAAATCGATGTGCCAAATCTGCAGGTGGTTAAGCTGATGTAGAGCATCAAGTCCAAGGAGTATGTGAGAGAAACTTTGCTTGGATGTACTGTTGACGTGAGTCTCCTAATTAATCAATGAGATTTATTTCCTTGATTAATTAAGGGATTTACTTTCCTATTTTTTATATAATTGATAAATTATTGTACAATTAGGAGATACTTTCCTAATTCTTTACTGTAAGTAATTCCTTGTAAAGTCCACATGTAAACTCTTATATATACCTCCTTATGGAGAAGAATAAAGTTAACCTAATACATTCAAACCATATTCATATTTTAGCATGGTATCAGAGCAATCGATCCTAGGTTTTCTCTAAAACCTTATCTCAAATTTCTCATATTCAAATCCAAAACCCTAAATCAAATTCCTCATACTTTTCCCCAAATCCAAATCCCTCAAATCCTCTTATCCAAATCCCTAAACACATACTCTCAACTCTTATACACATACCTCTTAAATCCAATTCCTACATCAAATTCCTCACCATCTCATATCATATCTTACTTCCACTGCAATGTCAGGAACCCCTACGATTTTCCATCTTATTGCAGACTCACAGAAGTATACGGTTAATCCTGCTGACCCGGCTACCCGGACTCCTCCTTCTATCACCACCACCAAATGTTCTACTTTTCATACGTCCTCCAAAAACTCCGCATGAATTATCGACTCAGGCGCTACGGATCACATGACATTTGATCTTGGCAAACTTATTAATCGCAAATCATCCACTCCGTCGGTGGTATCTAATGCTAATGGTACCTCCTCCCTTGTGGTTGGAAAGGGCTCTTTATCTCTCTCTGCTTCCCTGCACTTGGATTTTGTATTACTTGTTCCATCTTTGGACCATAACTTGTTATCTGTTGCACAACTTACTACTATTTTTGGGTGTATTGTAATATTTTGGCCGAATAATTGTGTTTTTCAGGATATCCTCACAGGAACGACGATTGGTTGTGGTACTCGGCGGGGCAAACTCAATTACTTGGACTCGGCACCGGATAGTGAGGTCAAGGGTGGTCAAGCTTTCACCGCTAGTGGAACTCGTCTTCAGGGGGAAAGAGACAAAATTGGTTATGGCATAAACGTCTTGGGCATGCCTCGTTTGGTTATCTTAAAAAGTTGTTTCCATCATTATTTTCCAATCTTGATGTTTCCAGCTTCTAGTGTGATACGTGTGAATTGGCTAAGAGCCATTGTGTCCCATTCCTATTAAGTTCATATCAGAGTTTGGTTCCGTTTTTCCTTGTTCAATCTGATGTTTGGGGACCTGCTAAAATTGCCACTCATGCAGGGGCACAATGGTTTGTTACGTTTATAGATGATTGCACATACATGACTTGGGTTTCCCTTTTCAAAACAAAAGGGAAGTCAGTTCCAGGTTTCAACAATTTTATCAAATGGTGGAGACTCAGTTTCATGCCAGAATTCAGGTTCTTCATTCTGACAATGGCGGAGAATTTCTTAACCAATTCTTACAAGATAATGGCATCATACATCAAAGGTCATGCCCTTATACTCCCCAACAGAATGGGGTGGCTGAAACAAAGAACAGACACTTATTGGAAGTCGTTCCTGCCTATCTCTTTGGTGCCAATATGCCACGATCATTTTGGGGCGAAGCCGTCGTCTCTGCAGCATACCTTATAAATCAGATTCCCTCTAATATCCTAAATTTTCAAACACTTCACCATCATATCCAAACATCTCTCACCCCAAACCTGGAACCCCGAATTTTTTGCTGTGTTGTATTTGTCCACTTACATGATCACCAATAAAGAAAATTAGATCCCCGAGCCGAAAAGTGTGTTTTCATTGGCTATGCATCTCATCAGAAAGGATACCGATGTTATCATTCCCCTAGTCAGAAAGTTTATACTTCTACGGATGTTGTGTTCCGGGAAAACAATATATATTTTTCAACTGCACAGAAGGAGCATTGCGACACCAGAACTTCTCAAATTTTTTATTTTTTTCCTTCCAGAATCATCCCAGCTTGAAAGCGACCGGTCGCCAATGACTCTGCCTGAAAATGACCAGTCGCTTTTGACTCTGCCAGAAAACGACCATTCGTAGCTTGGAAGTGACCGGTCGCTACATGAAAACCAGCCTCAGCTTGATTTGTCGTCTCCTTATTGTCCAACTTAGGAGGAGGAAACTGATGAGATTTTGCCCACTCCGGAGACTTCTTCAGCTCCAGTACCACACCAATCACCTGCTGAGGATGTCATTCCTCAGCAGGTGATTGGTGTGGTACTGGAGCTAAAGAATTTGCCCACTCTGGAGACTTTTTGAGCTCCAGTACCACACCAATCACTTGGACAACAAGGAGAGGTACCATTAGCATTAGTCTTCTTGAGCTTCATTCCTCAGCAGGTGATTGATGTGGTACTAGAGCTGAAGAAGTCTCTGGAGTGGGAAAAATCTCATCAGTTTCCTCCTTCTAAGTTGGACAACAAGGAGATGATAGATTAGGCTGAGGCTGGTTTTCGGGTAGCGACCGGTCGCTTCCAAGCTGCGACTGGTCGTTTTTTGGCAAAGTCATAAGTGACCGGTCGTTATCAGGCTGTGATCGGTCGCCAGGGAAAACCTCCAGTACACTATGAAGCAAATCTTAATGCCAAAGGAAAATATCTCATCAACAATTATGTATCCATCAGCAGAGTCACGAGTACACTTTGTGAAACAGTTGGCCGACATACCTGTTCCTAACAGTGTAACTGAAACACTGGAAGACCCAAAATGAAAAGAAGCCATGAATGAAGAAATGAGAGTTCCCCAGAAGAATGACACATAGGAACTTGTGTCATTACCTCATGGAAAGAAGATAGTGGGATGCAAGTGGATTTATACTATGAAACTCAAAGCAGATTGATCTATTGAAAGATATAAAGCTAGATTGGTGGCGAATGGGTACACACAAAGATATGGGATAGACTACCAAGAGACCTTTGCCCCAGTAGCCAAGATTAAAACTATAAGAGTCCTTCTGTTTCTAGCAACAAATCTCGATTGGCCATTACATCAATTTGATATAAAAAAAATGCATTCTTACGTGGAGACTTGGAAGAAGAAATATTTATAGACTTACCATCAGGATGTAACTTAGCTGTGACAAGAAGAATAAAGTTCGCCAACTCAGAAAGTCATTATATGGGTTAAAGCAATCCCCAAGGGCATGGTTTGGCATATTTACTAAATCCATGAAGAATTTTGGATATATACAGAGTAATGCAGATCACACTTTATTCTTGAAGCGTGATGAAGGAAGACTTACTGCATTGATTGTTTATGTGGATGACATAGTCGTAACTGAAAATGACACAGGAGAGCAACTGAAACTGCATAAGTATTTGTCTCAGGAATTTGAGATAAGGATTTAGGTGATCTGAAATACTTTCTAAGTATTGAAGTAGCCAGGTCCACAACTGGTATATTCCTATCTCAAAGGAAGTATGTATTAGATCTGCTCACTGAAACAAGAATGCTTGGATGCAAACCTACTGATACACCCATCGAGATGAATCACAAGTTATATGAAGGCATGGATCAAGAACTAACCAATAATGAACAATACCAATGCCTTGTTGGAAGGTTGATATATTTATCCCACACAAGACCAGATATTGCATATGCTGTGAGTGTGGTTAGTCAGTTTATGCATTCACCTAGTGTGTCCCATAGGAATGCAGTTAATCTGATCTTAAGACTTAAAGTCAGGACCTGGGAAAAGATTAATGTTCTAAAAAAAATAGAAATCTCGAAGTTGTTAGATATACAAATGCTGATTGGGCTGACTCCATTACTAATAGACACTCTACTTCAGGTTACTTTACCTTTGTGAGAGGTAATCTAGTCACTTGGCGGAGTAAAAAACAAAATGTGGTTTCTCGGTCTAGTGCAGAAGCTGAGTATCCAGGAATGGCTCACGAAGTTTTTGAACTACTGTGGATCAGAAGACTATTGACAGAATTGGGTTTCAAGCCAGGAAAGCCAATGAAGTTACACTGTGATAACAAATCAGCCATTGACATTGCCCATAATCCAGTTCAACATGATCGAACCAAACATGTTGAAGTGGATAGACATTTTATCAAAGAGAAGATTGAGAAAAAGATCATCTACCTATCATTCGTAAGATCAGAAGATCAATTGGCAGATATCTTAACCAAAGCTAATTGTGGAAGAGTATTTCATGACTCACTTACCAAGTTAGGCATTGGTGATATATATGCATCAACTTGAGGAGGAGTGTTGACGTGAGTCTCCTAATTAATCAAGGAGATTTATTTCCTTAATTAATTAAGGGATTTACTTTCCAATTATATATATATATATATATATCTCCTTATGGAGAAGAATAAAGTTATCCTAATACATTCAAACCATATTCATATTTTAGCATGTACTACTATTGGTACCTAACCAATGATGGTTTGAGTTTTTGAGGAACTACCTCAATCTCCCATATGAGATTGTCCCTGCAACTCTAAAGAAGCGGGCCAAGCCTCATGGTCGCCCCTTGGGCCCATCTAGTGACCACCCATGGTAATTAATTTGTTTAATCTTCTTTATTGGTTATTGGATCTATTGATATATTTTATTGGGGTTGTTTCTTTGAGTGTTTTGCGAATTGGGTTTGATTATTTGAATAACATATGGTAGCGACTTGTAACTTTGTTCTCATTTAAAGGATTTATGTGTTCTTTGTTCTAATTGTAAATGGCTATTCAAATTGTTCGTTTTTGTTATTTGGTTTAGCTGATAAGATGTTATGCACATGTAATTTGTACAGGAAGTCGTTAATTTGGTAAACTGCTCCTACAATCATTTTGTTTTTGGAAGACGGTTTGAAATTAGATTGTATTGAATACTGTAATTGACTGAAATGTGGTTTGTTTGACGGAATGATTGAAAAGTTTATTAGAAAGCCTGGATTTTTATATGGGTTTAATTTAAACTCTAGAGTGTGTGATATCGATCATTTAGGAAGGAGTTATTTAACTTATTTAAGTATACTTTGACAAATTTGTGTTCCTTTTCTAGTTCATTTGTTGAACCCTTTCATTGGTTGGAATGTAATGTAGATGTTTTGATGATGTGAATAGTGGCCCACCTCACTTTGATGGAGGAGAACGCAGATTCGATGACAGGGATGGGTACCGTTCAGGTCCTTGTGCACCAGGGGGTGATTTTGGTGACAAGGGTGGAGCACCTATTAACTACAGACCTTCTTTCGGGGTAATGTTTCTGTTGTCAAGTAGTTTGTTTTATATTTCTCATTTAGGTTCTATGTGTTTTTACCGTTTATTGGGTTGGAGATCAATTGCCTGTCGATGATATTCTATTCATCTTGGCATTTTGAAATTGTGTTCTATCCGATCCCATTTATCTGATCCCATTTACCTTGTTATTGAGGACTTGACAAACTTATATGCTGCTCACTTAAATGTGTTGTTTGATGAGAAGATTTTCTCACTTTAGAAATATAATGTATCTCTTAAATTTTCTGCTTCTTGCTTATGAAATATCAGGGTAGTAGGCTTGGCTTTGGTCGTGGTGCTGGTGATCCGGTGGAGCTGGTGGTTTTGGTGCTGGCCTAGCGAGCTCTGGTCTGTCTTAAGGAAATGGTTTACTTAGACAGCATTTGGTTTCCTAAGTTTCCATTTAAGAACGGATGACATTCTGTAATAGAAGACAATAGCAGTTTTGTTTGACTATCTGCAGTAATATTGAGATTGTATTATATGTTTGTTTTTATTCTACATGGCCTTTGAATCGCACTTTGCAAAATTTATTTCATCTGTCATCTATATATATCGTTGAGAAATTTCTTAGATAATGTTTAATAATTATTTTCCTGCTATTTTTTTGTGCGATCTTCAGCAGCTTGTCATAGTTTATGTCTTGGTATTTGAAAACGAAATTATGTTGGTTTGATGTGTTCGAGTGTTGAGTTGAAAAAAAAAAATTGTGATTTGTACACGAAGCGAGTCTTTATTAGAATATGTACAGGATAGGGAGTTATCGTCAAACATCCACAAGTTTAAAACTAAAACCAAGAACCGAATTACCAAAACACTCTACACGACATGAAAAGAAACCCAATCTACCTTTCTATATATACTTGTTGACTGAAGCGAACTGCTTGTAGAAGTTTTTAGTGTCACAAAGGCATCGATTTTTAGTCGACTTCCTCCATCTGGCTCTCCTCCATCTGATTCTCCTCCAATGGTGGCACGTCGACATTGCCGTCCAGTCCGGGATCATCATCATCAATGCTCAAACCTAGTTTCAACATCCTATGAATCCTCCCCGCAAATGTGTTGGGATCATCAAGACTAAAGCCAGAAGTCAAGAGAACAGTCTCAAAGAGCAGCATCACGATATCCTTCACCGACTTGTCATTCTTATTGACATCAGCCCTCTTCCTCAGCTCCTCCACTATGCCATTGTCAGGGTTGATCTCCATTATCTTCTTGCTAGCCATGTAACTAATGATGTTGTCCCTCAATGCCTGAGCCTTCATGATCCTCTCCATGTTCGCTGTCCACCCATATTCTCCAGTCACCAAGCAGCAAGGTGAATCCACAATTCTATCAGACACCACCACCTTCTCTACTATATCCCTAAGAATGTCCTTCATTGTCTTGCACAAGTTCTCAAATGACTGTTTCTGCTCCTCCTTCTTCCTCTTCTCTTCCTCCGATTCGTCCTCAAGCTTAAGCCTTTCCTTGGTTGCCGAGACAAGCTTCTTCCCATCATACTCCTTCAGTTGCCCAACAACATACTCATCAATGGCATTAACCATAAAGATCACTTCATACCCTTTCTTCTTGAGCCTCTCCAAGAAGGGCGAGTTCTCGATTGCCTTATTGCTCTCACCAGTTATGTAGTAAATTTCATTTTGGCCCTCCTTCATCCTTGTGACATAGTCCTTCAAGCTGGTCATCTCATCACCACTCTTTGTGGAGTGGTACCTGAGCAAATCAGCCAACTTACCCCTATTTTGGTTGTCCTTATGGATTCCCAACTTGAGGTTTTTAGAGAAAACCTCATAAAACTTGAGATAGTCTTCTTTATTCTCTACAATCTCATTGAACAACTCAATGCACTTCTTCACCAAATTCTTCCTAATAACCTTGAGAATCTTGTTCTGCTGCAGCATTTCACGAGAAATGTTAAGTGGCAGATCATCCGAATCCACAACACCCTTCACAAACACGAGGTACTTGGGCATGAGCTCCTCACAGTTGTCCATGATAAACACCCTCCTCACATATAGCTTGATGTTGCTCATCTTCTTCCTTGTGTCAAAGAGGTCAAAGGGGGCTCTTTTAGGAACAAAGAGAATGGCTGTGAATTCAAGCTGGCCTTCAACAGAGAAGTGCTTCCAATCAAGAGGGTCTTCCCAATCATTGGTAAGGCTCTTGTAGAAAGAAGCATACTCCTCATTTGAAACCTCATCAGGCTTTCTCAGCCAAATTGGCTTCTGCTTGTTGATGAGCTCCCACTCATTTCTCACCTCTTTAACCTTCTTCTTCTTGGGCTTCCTTTCTTTGTCCTTCTCCTCATCCACCTCCTCAACCTCCCCCTCTCCTTCTTTCTTCTTAGCCTCCCCACTATCTTCATGCCCATCATCACTGATCTCTTTCTCAACAATCTTCTCAACCAATAAATAAATAGGGTAGCTTATGAACTTAGAGTGCTTCTTGACCATCTTCTTGAGCTTCCTCTCTTCCAAGAATTCCAATTGGTCTTCCTTGAGGAAGAAAGTGACCTTGGTCCTTCTACCAAGCGGTTCTCCATCAACATCCTTTCTGATGGTGAAAGAACCACCAGCCTGAGACTCCCACACATACTGCTCATCATCATTGTGCTTTGTGGTCATAATCACCCTATCTGCCTCCAAATAAGCAAAGTAGAAACCCACACCTAGCTGCCCAATCATGCTCATATCAGCCCCTACGTGCAATGCCTCCATAAACTCCTTTGTCCCAGACCTTGCAATTGTCCCCAAGTTGTTTACTAAATCTAACACAAATTACACCCAACAAAAAGAAGAAAAAAACCCAGCAATTATTTCAAATCCAAACCTCTAAATAATTTAAACAATTCAACTAACAGTACTGCAAGTCACCAAATTTTCTTTGTTTTATCAAATTTTGTTTAATTGGTAAATGAATTTGGTGACCCTAGTATCATTTCAAATCCAAACCCCTAAATAATTTAAACAATTCAACTAACAATACTGCAAGTCATCAAATTTTCTTTGTTTTATCAAATTTTGTTTAATTGGTAAATGAATTTGGTGACCCTAGTATCAGTGTTCAATTGTAGCTCAGAAGGTTAAAAGCATTGTCCCTACACCTGAGGTCCTAAGTTCGATTCCCCCTCCTCCAATTTTGTTTGTATTAAAAAAAAATTCAAATAACTTAAAATGCAAGTGATGTTGTATGCACCTGATTTGGTCATGCCAACGCCAGTGTCAATGATGGAGAGGGTCCAATTGGACTTGTCAGGGACAATCCTAATAACAAGCTCAGGCTGAGAGTCGAGCTTGCTCTTGTCAGTCAAGCTCTCGAACCAAATCTTGTCCAATGCATCAGAGGCATTGTTGATGAGCTCACGAAGGAAGATCTCCTTGTTGCTGTAAAAGGTGTTGATGATCAAACTCAAAAGCTGGTTGATTTCTTCCTGGAAAGCAAAGGTCTCAGTGTCTGCCATGGCAACTTCTTCAGCCATGAATATTACACGTACACAGAACAAAATGACAAATTTGCAATGTATACTTTTTATTTTTTTTGTGCTGGTAATTGGGTTTCATTTTATAGTGTTGAGGGTTTGACTGAGGAGGTTCTTGTGGCTTCTTTGCCAACCCAGCAAAGTTCCAAAAGGAATTGTAACAAGTGAGTCGGTGGTGAATGAAAGAATTGGAACGTATAGGGTAAAGCCACTCTCATCATGAGGGCATATTGTATTGATTTATACAGTATTACAGATAGAGTCCTATATCAACTATGATAAGGATATAATGTTATCAGATAACCAAGAGGAATTCCACATGGGATAAACGTAAATACAAGATAGAGTTCTAAGGACAATAGTCATCTAACACACCCCTGCAAGCTGACAGAGGAGGAACGCACTGGAAGCTTGGAGGTCAGCAGCTGGAAACGTGGAATAGACAACCCCTTCGTAAAAATGTCAGCAATTTGGTCTTAAGTAACGAACGTCAAGCTCCTGCCGCACAACTTTTTCACGAACATAATGATAATCGACTTCAACATGACGAGTAAGCGCATGGAAGACAAGATTGAAGGCCAAGGAGATGGCGCTAATGTTGTCACACCAAAGTTTAGGACAGGAAAAAGAAAGCTGCAGATCACGGAATAGTGCACTGAACCAAGAAATCGCAATAGCAGTATAAGCAAGTTGGCTGTACTCAGCTTCGGTGCTGAAGCGAGAAACACCTCATTGCTTTTTAGAACTCCATGAAATTAAATTAGACCCAAGATACAAGCAGTAGCCACTTGTGGAGCGACGATCATCAGGATCACCGGCATAGTCTGCATCAGAATAAGTCATTAAAGACAGGGAACCAAGTTATAGAACAAGCCATGAGTGGAAGTACCATTAAGATAAGAATACGTTTGACAGCAACCCAATGAGCAGAGGTAGGTTGGTACATAAATTGGCAGACGTGGTTCATAGCAAAGGCAATATCAGGGCGTGTGAGAGTGAGATATTACAAGGCACCAACGACACTACGGTACTCAGAAGGATCATCCAATGGAACACCATTATGGAGGCTAAGACGACGTCCACTGGCAACAGAAGATGAAATATGTTTGGCGTCCTGCATCTTTGTGCGTGTCAACAAGTCCTTTATATATTTGGATTGAGTGAGAGAAAGCCCGTTAGGAGTGCGAAGAACTTCTATGCCCAGAAAATAATGAACAGGCCCGAGGTCCTTCATGGAGAAGAGACGGCTTAAGTCTTGAATGAGTGTGGAGATGTGGGTCGGGTCATTGCCTGTAATTAAAATGTCATCAACATAAATTAATAAATAAACTCGAATGGACCCATTAAGATAGATGAATAAAGAAGAGTCGGCTGTGGAAGCAATGAAGCCCAAATCTTCCAAATGAGTGGAGAAACATTTAAACCAGGCCCGAGGGGCTTGTTTGAGCCCATAGAGAGAACGCTTAAGACGACAAACATGGTCAGGAAATTGGGGGTCAATGAACCCAGTGGGCTGACGCATATAAACCTCCTCATCTAGATAGCTGTGGAGGAAAGCATTCTGAACGTCCAACTAACGAATGGGCCATTGAAATTGAACAGATAAGGCTAAGATAAGACAAATGGTGGAATGATTCACAACTGGGCTAAATGTCTTGCCATAATCCAACCCTTCTTGCTGATGAAAACCATTAGCCACTAAACGGGCCTTGTAACGTTGAACGGAGCCATCGGAATTGCGTTTGATGCGAAACACCCACTTATTTGGCAAAACATTTAAGGTGGGCTTTGGAGGAATAAGGACCCAAGTACCGGCTCGTTGAAGAGCATTAAATTCTTCTCCCATAGCAGTGCGCCATTCCTAAAATTTATTAGCCTGACTGAAACAAGTGATCTCAACAATATCATTAGAAGAGTCCAAGAAAGCATGATTTGCATATTTAGGATTGGGCTTACGAAGACCAGTTTTAGCACGAGTCACCATAGAATGAGTAGTAGAAGGTCTTACCCGAGAAGTGGCCGAAGGTGATGAGTGTCTTGAGGAACTTGGTAAAACAAGGTCAGGCTCAGGAGAGGGAAAAGTGAGGACGGTCCTATGTGGGGTGTGACGGTAAACTTGGAGAGAACTAGGTGGGGAGTGTTGGGTTGTTTGGGAGGCAACAATTGTGGGAGTATTGGTGGCATTGGGCAAGGGTGAGGATGGGCTGGGAGAGGTGGGAGTGACAATTTGGTGGCCATGGGGCTGCGAGGCAGCCTGCTGGTTGGGAAGAGACCCAAACACTTGTAAAGGTGGTGCAGAATCCGCATAATAGGAAGAAGAAATGTGGGCATGAGCGCCCTTGGTCTCTTGAAAGGGGAAGCAATTTCATCAAAAATAACATTGAGTGATAAAAAGACTCTGTTAGTGGACAAGTTTAAACAACGATAACCTTGATGATCTAATGAGTAGCCTAGAAAGACACATTTAACAGATCGTAAGTTAAGTTTATTAGTATTGTAAGGCCGCAGATATGGAAAACATACACACCCAAAAAATTTAAGAAAAGCAAAGTTAGGTTCTTGATGAAAAAGAATTTGATATGGAGACTGAAGACCCAAAACTTTAGAAGGAAGACGGTTAATTAAATACACAGCAGTATGTATGGCCTCAGCCCAATAGGCAAGAGGCATGGAAGCATGGGCTAACGAGGTAAGCCCATTGTCAACAATATGACGATCTTTCCGTTCTGCCAAACCATTTTGTTCAGGGTGATGGGGACAAGAAATGCGATGGTCAATACCATGAGTAACCAAAAAATTATGAAAAATACGACTAGTATATTTACCACCCCCATCAATTTGAAGAGCTTTAATTTTTGTAGAAAATAAATTCTCAACAAGTGTCTTAAATTTAACAAACAAAAAGAAAACCTCATATTTCAAGTGCATAGGGAATATCCACGAGTAGCGAGAAAAATTATCAACAAAAAGAACATAATATTGAAAACCATAAACTGATTTATTAGACGAACTCCATACATGAGAGTGAATGAGTGCAAAAGGAGCATGCGTAACAGACAACGAAGACTGAAATGGTAGCTTAACACTTTTTCCTAAAGGACAAGAATGACAAGTAAAATTATCAAAAGTCTGAGTGCCATCAATAGACAACTTATTTTTAGATATAGGAGATGAAGGATGACCAAGGCGCGAATGCCAAATATGACCAACAACACGAACACCAAGATATGCAATACAACCAGGAGATGACATGCTAGATGGAAGATAGTAGAGATCAAGATTACTGGTGCCTCGGAAAAGAGTTTTCCCCGTCCGCGAATCCTATACCAAAAAATGATTGGGATAAAACGTGAAGAAACAGTTATTATCCCTGGAAAATTTATTAACGGACAATAAATTACAAGAAGCAGTAGGGCAGTGAAGGATATCAGTAAGAGAAAAAATAGAGTTGTTGTTAGGAGGAAGACTAGAGGAGCCAATATAGGTGATACGCAAACCTGTTCCACCAAGCACACCATCGACAGAATCATGGCCATGATATTCTCGGGAAAGAGACAAGTTACCCAGATCATTGGTGATATGAGAGTTGGCCCCAGTATCCACAACCCAATTAGGAGGACGAGGAGACGAGGATTGTTGAGCAGTCATGGCAGTAAGGTGTTGAGGACCTTCATTCGACATGTTGAGACGATTGTAGCAATCCAAAGCAGAATGCCCATAACGTCCACAAATTTGGCACCGAATAAGCAAACCAAAAAAGGAAGCAGAAGATGAGGAAAAACCAGCAGCAGCTGTAGGAGGAGGACCCAAAACACCAGGTTGTGAAGAGGAGCCACCAGGAGAAGAAAAAGAAGCACGACCAGAACCATGAGAGGAGGAAGAGCCACGAAACCCAAGATGTCCAGTAGCAAAGGAAGAACCAAACCACGGGGCAGAACCACCAGAATGTCCACCACGGAAAGAAAAACGGCCACTACCGCGACAGCGACCACGAGAAGAAGCATGACCATGGGCAGCAACCATCGCAGTGGCAGGACCATCACGGGCAGGAGCATGGAGCATAAGATGGCGTTGTTCATCAGAGAGCAAGAAAGCCTCAAGATCAGCATAGGTAATAGGGGTTTCACGGGCTTGAGCAGACGCAACAGTAGACTCATATAAAGGCCCAACATTATTCATAATGACAGCAAGAAGATCGGAGTCAGGAAGAGGAGAACCAGATAACGCGAGGTTGTCGACAATAGCATTGACCTTGTCCAAGTAAACAGCAATGGAGGAATCACCACGAGCAGTACGGAAGAGTTCACTACGAAGTTGCAAAATTCGATTTTGATTTGGAGAGGCGAAATGGTTTTCAAGAGCCACCCAAGTAGATCGAGCAGAAGTAAAACGAGTGACGGTGGCGAGAACCGTAGAACGAAGAGAACCATTGATCCAGGACAAAACCAATTGGTCTTGTTGAATCCAAGTATCATAAGCAGGATTAATGGCATCAGTAAGCTTGCCCTTGTCATCTTGAAGAAAAGGAGAAGGAGCGACGGAGGCACCATTGACGAAGGATAGTAGGTTGCGACTCTTGAGGAGAAGGAGAATCTGGGCCAACAAAAGGGATAGTTATTGCGATCAAGCTTCATATGAACAGCTTTAGAGACAGGGGGAAAAGAAGCATAGGAATCAGAAGAAGAGGCCATGGATAAATAATAATTTAAATAAAAAAAATAAAAATAAAAAGAGATATAGAGAGTAAAAAAATTTCAGACTGTAAGTCAATAAGCTCTTGATACCATGAAAGAATTGGAACGTATGGGGTAAAGCCACTCTCATCATGAGGGCATATTGTATTGATTTATACAGTATTACAGATAGAGTCCTATATCAACTATGATAAGGATACAATGTTATCAGATAACCAAGAGGAATCCCACATAGAATAAACATAAATACAAGATAGAGTTCTAAGGACAATAGTCATCTAACAATGAATGAGGTGGATCAACATTCTTGGCTCTTCAAAGTGATCTAGACTGTTCCTTCCTCTCTTCATGCAGATTTTTTGACATTTGGGGGCTCATTTTGCTACATCTGTGATGTGCTGCTGTACGTGGCATTCTGAAGCTTGATGCATGATATTCTTAACATCTTTATCTGTATAGCGGGGTAAAATAAAAGTAACAGAGGATATGAGTGCAAACTTTTAACAAATCCATTGCCCTTTTGCATATTTCATCTAATTGTGCTATCCCCTTTTGCAAATTTCATATTACCATGATTGAAGATGGATCTAGGAGGACAAGGTGCAGCAGTGAGAGGGTTCCTTCTATTTTTCTGTTTAGTGGCACTGACTGTTTGTGATTGGGTTTGGAAGACCTAAGAACACTTTTCATAATCAAAAGCACAAAGAACACTTTATATAATTAAAATCACTTCTAATAACGTTTGACATAAAAATTTAATAGTGTTCATGAAACGTCTTTGTAGAGCACTTACTAGGTGCTTATTCAGAAATATCTGTAACACACGAAAGCATTTTACAAAAGTCCATACTCTGTGAGGAACTTAGACAGCACTTGAACTTCTAATAAATATTTCAACATGTCTTGCAAAATGCAAAAACACGTATGAGAGCACGAATGTTTCCTATAAAATCAAAATTCCAAATGCCATTCTCCACCAACGACCCAACCCCAACAGTTAATTCTAGTCAAATTCCTCTCATTTTCTAGGCTTCCTGGGGGCATAGGCCCGAGAACAAACAACAAGACTTAGCCCATAGAAACCCAAAGCCCTCACATACAGGCTTACATTAGAAGAACTCAAAGCCCAAACACAGTGTTGCTGTGGGTTGCCAGAAAAAGAAGCCTTCACTACAACATGCAGACAGAACCCATTTTGTCTCTGCACATGAAATCAAATACATGAAGAAACCGTGACAATTCATTGAACTGATGGTGATCTTTCATCTTTGAGTTCAATGCATCACTATTACTGACAGTAAGCTCAAAGGTTATTCTTGCCAATATTTCCCAAAAGAGTTTTGTTTTGTCCATATTTGCAATTAATAAACCAACCCATCATTGTATATCATGGGTAGTTGGTGATAGTGGAACCTAAAACTAGAAAAAGTTTGAAGGGGACTACAATGCCAATCATTTTAAAAGTTTGTGGGGGACTTGGAGTGAGGAAATATTATCCCCTGGAAACATTGAAAGGGTCAGAAATGTGAATATGAATGTGAAATGCAGAACTTTTGAACACTAGCAAAATACAGTTTCCAATTTCCATTGCTTCAAACTTGTTAAATATTGCAAGTCATCCAGAAAATAATTCCAAGTCAAGTCTAAGGAAGAAAAAAAGGGCAAGTTCCACTACATGTTGTCTAGGGTAGATGACCAGACTTACATACGACATGTCGTAAGCAATCAGGCCTTCCTTCCAGGTGTGTGCGCCACTGCCAGAAAATCTAGGCTTTTGGTCAGAGTCAAGAGAGACGCGTGTGCTTGATGATGCAGTCATGCGTGTACCAAATACCCAAATTTTATTTTATTATTATTTTTTCTTTTTTCCTTCCTTATTTCGTGATCGAAACCATTTTGAAAACAGGAAAAGTCTCATTCAAAAGTCACGGATTTTGCAAACCATTTGCAGATCAAAAGCTCAAAAGCTCAAAAGCTCTCTGGTAAAGTGTAAAGCAGATAGCTTTGCATTGCATTGCATTCACAGTTTCACACAAAACCCATTACTTGTTATCCAAAATCACCTACTATGCTCTGCTGAATTTGGTCGAGAATCACGGGCACCATTAAAGCCCCAAACATCCGCTTCAGGGTTTCTGAACCCTTAAAAGAAAAGAGCTTCCTTTGCTTGGTTTCAAGTTTGAAGTTTGAACATGGCTGCCAAAGAGTCGAGCTCTGCTTCTTCAACGGATGCTAAAATCAAAAGGGTGCTCACCCATGGTGGTCGATACGCGCAGTACAATGTGTTTGGGAACTTGTTTGAGGTCTCTAGCAAGTACGTGCCTCCCATTAGGCCTATTGGTAGAGGTGCATATGGCATTGTCTGGTAAGCTTTCTACGTTCAAAAATTGATCTTTAGCTTCTTTTGCTATGTGGGGCACTTTTAATTTTATATTTGTACTTTTGCTTGGTTTTGTTGACATTTCTATCGATATATTTTGCTTTACTTTAGAATTGGTTTCAATGTTTTTATGTTGAGTTTGGTCTGTTGAGTAATTTGAGTGATATTCCTTTGTCCGGATGATATTCAAGATTATATTGCAGAAAACATGCCCAAAATAGAAGAAGAAACTCTGTATAGAATTTGTACTTTGTTGTTGAAATCATTTGATATTTCAATGGAGGGGCATTTTATTGTACATAACAGGTTCAATAATTTATTATGCTGTTATTTTGTTTTCTGTGTGTGTGTGTTGGTTTTATATCAGTTTGGTTACAAATGCTAACATACAGCAGAGCTGGTTTCTTGAATATAGCTGATGCTTATTAGCCACTCCTTTTGGATTAGGCATCTATTCTTTGCAATTGTTTCTTTGCTGTTCATGAAGTTGGTATGCGTGGTTTCATGCCTTGCTTCTGCTCATCATGTGTTGTGAAGAGCAGATTAGCCTAGAAGACTGCTTGTATTACTGAGGAAAGCGTTTCCTTATGGTTTCTTTTTCTTGACAAGTATGATTTTTGGGATACAGTGTGGTGGATAACACAATTTCTTTCTTTTCAGTGCGGCTGTCAATGCAGACACACATGAGGAAGTTGCAATTAAGAAGATTGGTAATGCATTTGACAATATAATAGATGCCAAAAGGACCTTAAGAGAAATCAAGCTTCTTTGCCACATGGACCATGAAAATGTAAGTTTTATATATAAGAGTAATATAACAAAACATGAAAGCAACTCTTTTACTTAGGATGAAACTTGAAAGCAAGCTAAAGACAGGACAGCTGATATTGGTACGTCGTTAATGATTCTTCAGGATACATTACTGCATCTTCAATATATGATGGGTTTAGCATCTTTTATTGTCATGCTGGGTTTTCTCTGAAAACTATTCTTCAGCATTCTGTTATTTTCTGCCTTTTCTCCTGTTAGCTTGTAGAAGGGGTGGGCAGTCTATGCCTAGTCTCCTACCAGCACCCCACCATCAGTCATTTATGGCAAATAGTTTTGTTTTTCTGTAATGACTATCTATTCCAGACCTGGTTTGGCCTTCTGTTGTACTGCATATATTACTCTTTCTATTTGGGTCTCTTCAGAATTACAGCTCGTTAATTCCCTTCACAGGTTATTTCCATCAAGGACATTGTACGACCACCAAAAAAAGAGACCTTCAATGACGTATACATTGTTTATGAACTAATGGATACCGATCTTCATCAGATCATTCGGTCTGACCAACCACTAACAGATGATCATTGTCAGGTTTGGCACCAATAATATCACTGGGGCTTCTTACCTTGTAATTGTAATTATATAGTTCAAATTATCAATGTACTGTGGTTCTTTGCTTTTTTTTCTTTTTGCATACTTTGATTACATAGGGGATCTTAATAATATAATCTATTACTTTTTTTTTTTCTCTGTTCTTATAGGTTTTAAGTGGCATGTTTCATAAGTTTCATGAATATGAACTTTTATTTTTTAATAAAAGAGGTAGATGGAACCTTATATACAAATACCTTGAACTTGAAGAGAATTCATGTAAAACTAAATATTTGTGATTATTGTTAATCTTAAAGGAAAAAAAAGTCGTTTCAAAACAAATTAATTGAAGTGTTATTAAATATTTTTATTATTGTAAGTTTTTTCTCAGCTTTTTCATAAAGAAATATCAAATTGCGACCCTATGTTTCGGATATTGTTTAGAATTCATAATATTGCGATCTGGTTTCATTACTTTGCTTGGGTTTAAAGTCATACATGAGATTGATATTTTGTGTATCCTATGCAGTACTTTCTGTATCAGCTGTTACGAGGACTAAAATATGTGCATTCAGCCCATGTCTTGCACCGTGATCTGAAGCCAAGTAATTTGTTTCTTAATGCTAACTGCGACCTTAAAATCGGAGATTTTGGACTAGCAAGAACAACAACTGAGACAGATTTCATGACTGAGTATGTTGTCACTCGTTGGTATCGAGCACCAGAGTTGCTACTTAATTGTTCAGAGTACACTGCTGCAATTGATATCTGGTCTGTTGGTTGCATACTTGGCGAAATCATGACCAGAGAACCTTTGTTTCCTGGGAAAGATTATGTCCATCAGCTGAGGCTTATCACAGAGGTACTACTTTTGGAACTTCAAAATGAACTTAAAATTTAATTAAGCATGCTTTTAGTTTTTCATTTGATGTATGGTTGACATTTGTTAGATTAACTGGATGGCCAACCTGTTTTGATAGTTGCCTCCAGCCTCCAACCCCTTTCTCTCTCCTAAATTTCCCACTCTCTTGAGAATACCTGTCCAATCATAACATTTGAGCAAGGATTCACACTTGATCACCTAGGTGGCTGGGTAGAGAAAGTGCCTAGACCAAGTTCAGTTGACATATTTCATAATGGGCACCCACAGGTGCCACCATAGTGCAAACCACCCGAGTTTCTTCTGATTCCTGGGGTATCTTCGTCATTAATAATTGTCTGACAACTAGGTCAGCTATTGTAGCCTTCAGGAAATGCTTGCTTTGTGCGTTCCTCCCTGAGTTCTAATGTCAATAGGCTGTTAATTTGTGCTAAGATATCATGGTAAAAGATTGGTTGTCAATATGTTCTAAAGATTATCATGTAAATTGTCAAACTGATAGTACTAATATAGTCATGACATGCTTTTGGTTCATATCATCTCACATGGTTCTGGGACCCTCTTAATTAGTCTTCTGTACTATAATAATTTACCATTTTTATATCGTATGCTTATTTATTCTTTATTCGAAAGTCCTTTATATGTTCATTCTTGTAAGATGTACATGGAACATAATGTGTTATTGTTCTTTTTGTTTAAAGTTAATAGGTTCACCTGATGATGCTAGCCTTGGGTTTCTTCGAAGCGATAATACCCGAAGATATGTAAAACAGCTTCCACAATTCCAGAGGCAACAATTTGCTGCTAGATTCCCTAATATGTCTCCTGGGGCTGTGGATTTGCTAGAGAAAATGCTTGTGTTTGATCCCAATAGACGCATTAGTGGTATGAGAAATGGGTCCAAATTTTCAAGAGTTTCATTTCAAAGTAGAGGATCATATTATGAGTCCATTTTCCCTGATTTCTGTTTTTGATCTGTTTGCAGTTGACGAGGCACTTTCTCACCCATACTTGTCGTCCCTTCATGATAACAATGATGAGCCCGTCTGTTCCAGGCCCTTCCATTTTGATTTTGAGCAACCATCGTGCACTGAAGATCATATCAAAGAGCTCATCTGGAGAGAAACAGTGAAGTTCAATCCAGATCCAACCCACTAAAGGAAAATGCGTTTGCTTCGGCTGTAGATATATATGTATTATGAAGAACTTCCCCCCTTGTAACAAATGTATCATCAATCACCACTCTCCTGTAACCACTCTCCTGTAACTGATGTGCGAATGGTTGTTATTTGTTAAGGCTTCAAAGCAATATTGAAGTGAGGTTGGGGAAAATGATTTAGAGCTTGGCACAAAAATTCTGGATGTTGTACTGACTTGGTTATGAAATTTTTCTATTCGCATCATATAAAATCAATAGATTTGAAGAGCTGTTTTCTTGTTTCTATTTTTTTAAATCTTGCACATTTTAGATCATTATTTGCTCCTAATCTGGTTTTATTATTTTGTTTTTCATGATGATGTTTTTGTTGCTCCTTGTTTTGAGAACTTGTTTCTGCATAAGAAAATAATCGTCTCACAATGAGGGTGTACATTGACAGAGTCTCTGAAAATTGAGGTATGATATATAATCCATTGTTGTATTTTTGGCTAGAAATGTTTCATCTGTTCTTTTCAATAAATCATTTTGTAGTTAGGAACCTAAAAATATGCCACTTCTCATTCATCAACCAGTCGATTTAACTTTTCAAATTGTTTTTCTCGATCGTTATAAATAAAACTTTGTAATATAATCAATCATTGTTCATGGGAAACAAATTCCTAGACAAGGATGTTTCAATCTATCACCAGTGCTTCCTCCTGTAAGAGCACACCTGAACTTGAACATTATCAATTGGCAGGCGTTCTTCTGGAAAATTACATGCTGCAACATTACGTGGCCCCTGGTCTACCAGAAGCCCACATGCCTGAGGAACCACACCACTTGAAATCCCAGCAACATCAGTGCAATTCCATGGCAATTTCTTTGCCTTCTTTGCCAGTGTAATTGTAACGTTCGATATGCAAATTCCGGTAAACGGATCACCAGGTATTCCCTCCAGCTTAGCTGCCATTGTTACATTCTCAGCAACCATGTCATGATAATTTATATTCTGGATCACAGGAAGAGCATTAGGATCATAGCCATTGTCTGCATGTGATCCATAGTTTCCTGTCATCCAAAATGCCCATTTCATGGTTTTCATAGTCATCCCTCTCACATATATGTCTTTCACAAAGCCTCCTCTTCCCACAGCAGTTTTGATCCTAACTCCTGATTCTGAATCAATGGCCAGAATGTCCTCTGCCCTCACATCTTGGATCCCACCAGACATCTCACTCCCAAGTGCAATCACAGCACTGAATGGAGAAATGCATGTGAGCCGTCTTATCACAAGCTGCTTAGTTGGCATCCCAAAAGCAATACCATACTGATCCCAACCACTCTTTACTGCTATACAATCATCCCCAGAGACAATGTAGCAGTCTTCAATTTTGGTATTTGTGCAAGAATCTACACAAGATAAACCAAAATCAACTTTATTATATGCATGATAATTATGGGAAAACTATAGTAGAGTAAAAATTAGCAGTTGGCAATAGTAACTTTTGAAAACATAGTTTTATATTAGCAATTCAAAAGCACTTCTACTATTTTGGACAGCAAAGTGTGCCTTAAATTTTGTGCGGATAAGCAAGAAAGTAGTGTATATGAAACGCATTATGCTTACCTGGGTTGATCCCATCTGTGTTTGGAGATGTCACTGGTGCAAGAATTGTAATGCCTTGAACAAGAACATGGCTGCATTTTATTACAACAAATCTTAGAATTCAAAAGGATCAAACTTTATGAGTTACACATTTCATGCATGCTGCCGCAGCAAATTTGATGCTTTTTACTTCTTTTACTGACAAAAGAGAGAAGAAAAAAAGGCAGAGATGGAGAAAGGAACCTGCTGTAAACAGGATGGACGTTCCATGATGGAGAATTAATCAAAGTGAGATTGGAAATTTGGATATTTTCAGAATACATGATTTCGATCAGGTACGGTCGGGTGTACTTTAACTCTCCCTTCTTGAATTTTTGCCACCATAATTCACCTTGACCGTCAATGGTGCCATTGTGCCCTAATATCAAAATGTACCTAGTGTAAGCAACTCTACAACAACTTCAATCCCATAACTTAATCACATTACATGCTTGTTAATTACCTGTTATTACAACATCAGTGAGGTTGGTTCCAAATATCAGACTGATGAATCTCCCACCGTCCGTGTCCCTCCCTCGACCGTACGATGGAAGTGGTTGGATCACCGGCCATTCACTCTCCTCCTAGAAAAATTGTGAAAATAGAAGGAAAAAAACCCAAAAAAAGGTTCAAAACATGTTCATCATCATGCACACTAGATGCACCAGAACACCTAGAACATATGTTACACAAAAATGATGACCTTAAAAATCTTACAACAACCACTTTAGTTTGAAAAAGAACATGTGGTTGGAAGGTTATTTTTGGATTTGACTCTCTGCACATCTGTCCTGCATGCAGTCACGGATATGCTCTGTTTTTTATTTTTATTTTTCATTTTTCAATCCTTCCTTCAAATAAAAATTATTCTGATCACAACAAGAATGCATTTTTCTTCCACCCTTTTGGATTTAGTTTCATTTACAAAGACCCAAATGTAAACAACCATCCATTTGTGTTAAGAGAGATTGTCCATCAAAATTTTCTAACCTGAGAAGCAAGAAGAACTGCATCTTTATGGAGATAGAGGGTGAAATGGCTGGTGAGGTTGAAGCTGCCTGTTAACCATTTACCAGGAGGAACAAAGAGCTGTGCCCCACCATCAGATTGATACTGACTGAGATGATTGATGGCAGCCTGAAAAGCCTTGGTGTTTGATGTGCTTCCATCACCAACTCCTCCAAACTCTGCCAAGGAAGCACTGTGGGCTCTGCAACTCATGGCGCAGTACTCAAAGTAGTCTAAATCTTCCCGGGCCTTGCGGCTTTTAACTCCTTTTGTTGTGGCCAATAAAACCACAACGACTATTGCCATCAGCATCTCAGATAACTGCAACATAGAAAAACAAAAACAAAAAATAGAGTTTCTGATGGGATTTCGGTAATTATTGCCTGCATTTTTTTTGGTTTCTGGATGAAAGCAAGCAGACCCAATAGGGTAAATTCAACAAGAAAAATAAGAGAGAAAAAATCATGTAACAAAACTGCCAAAGAGCAATGCTTTTATAGGTGCATCAAAAACAGTTTGTAGAATTAAGAGGGGAGGAAGATTAATGGAAGAGAGAGCTTACCTGAGATGTCAGGGGAGTCTTCCACAACTTCATTATACAAAACAATGGTAGTTGCTCAAACCTTGTCTTTTGGTTTTTTGCAAAATGAAGTGTGTATATGTATAAGTTGCAGTTTGTGTACTTTTTTGTTTTTGTTTTTTTTTCTGAGACTTGTTTGAATGCAGAGCAAAATGGATGGAGATGATAAAGTTAGTTTACCTTTTTCACCCCAAAGCTTGTATCTTTGTCAAAGTATCATTCTTTGAGAATGTTTAATATTTTTATTTTTATTGTTATTTTTTAAAAACTTAAAGATAACCCCCCTTGGCTGTGCCTTAACCAAAGCCTTTTATATGCATATGTTACTTAAGTTTGGCCATAATTTATTGTAATAACCATGATTTGATTGACAAATTAATCACAATTAAAAGATGTAACAAGCAAGTTTTGGATTTTGCTGCATCAGATTAAAAGAAACGTGATTCAATGAGAAACTTGAGGGCATCATTGTATGGTGTTCACATGGTCAGTTTCAATATGGAAAGAAGTGGAAGCAAATTTTCCATAAAACTACTAGAACTGGAAGATATGGATGATGGTGTAATGATGGAGTCAATGTGGAAAAAGCACTAACATAAAGAATGCCCAGTGCGCACTATAGAAAGCATCCCCACTTTTTCCCTTGTTATTTATGTGTAGAATTTCATCCTCTTCTCTCTCCTTCTAGGGAAAGTTTGTTTAACTACCTTGTTATTTTGTAGCCCTTAGATTGGCGACAATCTTGAAACACTAGGAAGTCAATGTTGCCCTCACCTTGTGACATTGGAGAGAACCCTAAGTCTTCATATGCTACTTTAGTTGGTAACACACAAGTTGGTGTTCGTAGCTATATGGTAGTCTAATGTCCACATAATATTGACAAAAATAGGGATATTTTGGAAAATGTTAAAGGAGCGAGAAATATTTTTAAAAGAAGTCAAAATGGACAAAAATGCCCTTGTTTATTTTTGGATTTTTTAAAGAATCCTTTACATTTACATGTCTTTGGTTTAAAAGTTAAGGGGTTTTTCTGTCTTTTTCGGAAAAGTTTTGATTTTTTTAAAAAGTAAAATTTTTTTTATGGCTAAAACCTAAATTTACTTTTGAGATGAATCGAATATGAGAAAATTTGGTATCCCATTAAATTTACTTTTGAGAGGAATCGAATCTGAGAAAATTTGGTATCCCATAATAAAATGGCAAAGGTGAGGTCATCTGCAGTGGTTATAGATAGTGCTTCGTTGGTATTGTAATATGACACCCACTATGACTTTGGAGCATAAAGAAAAGAAGTTAATTTTGGCTGATTATGATGTGTGGTGTTGATTGGGGGTCCACAGTTTCACAGTACGTTGTATTTATCCACCCGTGACTTTGAGCAATGTGGCCAGCTCTTCACGGGCGTTGCTCAATCAGTGGAGGAAAAGAGGAAAGCCAAACCAAGCCCTTTTTCTTTGATGTTGTCACAATCTGCATATGCGCCACCCACTTTTCTCTGTTCCTAAACTATTTATTGCAATTCAGAATCTTGTTTTATGATGAGAAAACTAAGGTTTATGTATATTTATGTTAAACATAAAGAGGATAAATTGTTCAATAAACATGTACTTAATTTTTTGTGTAATCGTCACACAGTCACTTCATATTATCACTCACTTCATATTATGAGACATGTATCTACAATCGTTTACTTATATTATAACACGTGAAAATTTTCCGGTTTTTGTGGGCTGGGCGATCCTACTTGTAGTTTTTATATCATCTCTCTGCTTCATACGCTCTCATGGACCAAAAATGTGAGAGGAAACTGAAGATTGGGCTTAATTTGTGAAGAGACTTTGACAAATCCAAGGTCAAGTAAGCTCAGTTTTGGACAACCCAAATAAGCCTGTTGTTGGCCCACTTGTTGCCTATTCCACATAACGAGACAAGTGTAAAAATTGCAAGGCTGATGACCTCCTTACCCAAGTTTGTAATATTTGCAGTTGTGATAAATTTGTTACAATTTAGTATAAATTTGATCTTAGTTATTAAGGTGGTGGCTAGTAATAA